TGGTAAGAAACACTGATGCTCATTTATTTTCAATGTAATTTATTTTCTCACTCAATGCATTGTATTGTTATCAAACTTAAAATGGCGATCGGTTTGCTGCTTCAACTTTGTTCATATCAAGGCTGAAATCTCAATCTTGATTTTCCGTCAACATTCTTGTCGCTATTGATTTTTTTAAAAGAAAAAAAAAGCACAGTGCAGTGTGGGTAGAATTATTGTTGATAAACAAAACGTCCAGTCATTCGCAGAGCGACGGCTGTACTTTATTCAGACTCGGGATCTTCGTAATATTTGTGTAAATATAAATATGCAAATCATGGGAAATATACAGGTACTGGGCGTACAGACAACTCCAGCACGCCATTTAGATTATTACATTGATTGAAGCTATGTCCAGTCTCCGTGCCTTGTGCGTGATTTTCATCTTATGTTGCAGTGTGATGAGAACAGTGACATCGCACGAGTTTTATGATTTGAAACCTGTTAAACTTGGATGTGAAGTTCGTGGTATTGACATCGGCCATCCGGTACCAATGAGAGTGATTGAGCAGATAAAACAAGACGTGACCGAGCACCGCATATTGATTTTCAAAGATCAACATGAAATTTCACCTAAAAGGCATGTGAGAATCAGTAGATGGTTCGGGGATCTGGAGTCGTCATTTTTCACGCAACATCCTAAGTCGCCATTACGTGACATATACCGCGCATCAAATGATAAGTCAGAAGGTATACGTCCGGTGGGAAATGAAGAGTTTCACACCGATTGCCTGTACTTGCCAAAGGTGTGCAGTCATGGTATTTATCAAATGGTGAATGGATCTAAAGAGGCCGAGTCAGGTAAGTGACAATGCATATGGAGATTTATCACCACCAAAACATTCACAATGCTGAAGCTAAATTAGTATTAAAAGCAGTCTAGATTTTAATATATCTTGAACACAATGCGCAGGGCTCATAGAGTGATACATATTCTCATTATCACCACCCACGTAATTATACACCATTAACACGATTTTTAATTATAATTTTACAACATAAACGTCCCATCTGACGTGTCAAGTATAAAGCAGCTACTGTTGAATTGAGCAGCACAGTCTCCGTTTAAACGCCGGCGAAACTCAGCTAAAAATAACTCAGCAAATAACACAGTAGACGCCATGACGGGAAAGAATGGAATGGAATGTTTTTGCTTATGTAGTTGTGTTTTACCCACCGCTGTAGCGTCCTCGTAGCCATACTTTAACTGTCAGTAAATTACTGAGATTCTTACATCGCCTTTTAAAATCTTATGGTATATCTCCGTAAGTTAACACAGTGATTTCTAAGCAGTCAAAATATAGAAAATGGAGAAACGTTTATCCAGAGTTGCAAGCGCCCATGGACACATTTTTTCTCATAACACATTCATGGTACAAATGTTGTTTTGTTGTTGTTGAATAAAATACCTTGAGAAATCTCATAATCTCTTAACAGCTTTCGTTCCGTTGTCTGAAATTGTTGAAGGGCTGACAAAAGAACAAAGAAATCGATGGGAGAGGTTGTGGATGGTTGTACAGCAAACTACACGCGTTGTTCATCCTTTAATTTATTCACATCCAGGAAGTAATGAAAAGGTAAATTCAAAGAATGTGTCATCGCGTGAGTAGTTTACAAAAGCATGTTATTGTAGCAGTGCATTTGATGTGACGTATTCTGTGGGGCAGTATATTCCATAGTTTCAATGTCCACCTATCGCCATACTGCATTACTCAGAAAGGGTCAATTACCCTTATCCGGTTACTTTGGTTAAAATCAATATAAATTAATCGCCAATGGCCGCCGATATCTCGCTGAGAGCAAGAGCGAGAAACACGAGATACTACGATTCTGTTTCTCAGATAAGATTTCATGTATTCTCTACCGTCATCGTGTCCACCGTTCTATGTAATCGTGTTGTTTGGAACAGTGGACGCGATGACGAGGAAATGGGTAACTATTTGAGTGGCAAAAATCAAGTCTCGTGGCACTCTCGCACTAAACGAGATCACGGTGACCATTGACGAAAATGTAAAAGATATTGTCATGCAACTGTATTGTATGTTTGATACCAACTCGTAGGTTTTCTTTTTACCTACTGACTACACTGTTGCCTTTGAGTGGGACAGAGGAAATAGTAAAACAAGACGTCTTACTGAACCAGAAGAAACCTCTCAGATTCGCAACGAAATACACGACGTGTTTACAGAACACCTCAAAGATCTGCAATACATTCACAAGGTAGCATTGTTTGTTTTTGTTTTCTGATGTTGTTGTTGTTGTTTTTTAGTTGTATGTACTCACTAGGCAGAGATGAAAAATATGCGATTAATTTTGGTAACAGTTCGTACATTACGAAATTAGTATCTGGGTGCATCGTACTCCACTAGCATGTCAATGAAGTAGTGTTCTGTATGTCCAATGACTATATTTACTATATTGTATATTACAGTGGGAAGTTGGCGATTTTATCATATCCGACAACCAGGCTGTTGCACATTGCGCGTCGCCATCATCTCAAAAACCGCGAACGGAAGTTGGTTTACGTGTTTTACACAGAGTGACGGTAGCTGGAAAGGAAGCCCCGGAAAAGAAATACATTTCGCCGTCATTAGAAAGAAAGACTGAACTTTGATTACAATTATTGTAATGTTGGTATTTGACGAAATTCATCGTTGTAATACGTTCTTTATGTATCAGTATATAGCATTACGTATTGTTCTTGATTAACAATTCGTCGTCATTACAGTGGTATAAGTAATTTCTAAACAATAATGCTGTTAGTATTTGATTCATAATTCAGTTTTGCATTGCGATTACTCCACATATCTCATGTTTGTGATCTCAATAAACAAAGAACATCTCAAATTGTTTCTTGTTTAAACACACTGGATAACGTGGTATAAAGTCAATAAAAACATATGACGAATATTAGTATTTGACAGAAACATTAAATCGTACTCTGGTCGATTATATTATCTTAATAGATACACATTCAGTTTGTAGTATAAATGATCGTGTCCAGACTTGTCGTTGTCATAGTAATAGCAACCCGTCTCATCGGCACATATATGGTTTCATATATCATGTACTTTTCAAAATAAAATCATCTAGACACTATGATCAGACAATAGTTAATATGAACTCATGGTCATTGCATACCACTGAAACAACTAACACAGTGTAGAATGGACATGTATGATTAACCATTTGATCACCAACATTCCCCCCGCAAAATGTAGTACAGCATCTTGCCGATATTTATGTATTTTCAGTGATTTACTTTCATAATTTTGTACTATAGGAACGTAATTCAGCCTCACAGTGATCGAAATTTTTGGAAAAATGCGACAAAAAGTGTCGGTTTTATTTTGAGAATGGTGACAAAGAATGTATTTCGCGCTTTCACAACTCTCACTGCGGCATTATTGATTCTGATCATCAACGTCGGCCATCACAATACTAAGTATTGTCCGTTCAGTTTCTGACATATTACCCTAGCCTGCTGTGAATAGTCGTGACAGGGACATGCATATACGCGTAGTAATCTGCGAATATGCAATACATGTACTGCTGTTTGAGAAGATTTTATAATAATTTTAGTTCAGCAAATACTGTGCTTGACTGAATATGACGTGCGCCCCTAACGGTTAAAAGGGGAGCTGTACTGCCAGGCATGAACAATATTCAAATGAAGATTGATTATAAATTTAACATTATCTCTCCCATGTAAACCTTTCCCTGTGATATGTGTGTTGCTGATTGTTCACGCATTTTAGCCGGCATTCTAATTATGTTTGCTCAGGTGTACAAGTGATTGAGCTCCAAGAACATATTGAACAATAGACCATGTTCTGTTCACTGTGAGATCCCGCGTTATGCGTTAAATCGAATTAAAACAGGTCACACCAAGCACCGTTGTGGCGTCAACACGTGTCGTGGGTTTCGGCAGTATTTCAGAGGTATTTGCACGCTCAATAAAGTGTTATATACATTTGCTGATGGTGAAGTGAGGGTATCTAAAACGGCATATTCCTTCTTTAAAATTCGGCTTTGCGTCAACATTTTGAGGTAACTGTGACAGACGGATTGCGCCTTTCACGCGTCACGCGAGATTTCGAAGTGAACGGAAAATCATAAATGATATGTGAATAAAAATGATTGTCTCTAATGAAAACCTATCTGTAATGTTGCATTGTGGTTCTCATATAGATTACTGTGGTACTTACATGGCGCACTTCGGTGATACCATGATGCAATGCGATACTCCCATGGTGCAATGCGATACTCCCACTCACGTGTATCAACAATAAAGAGATTATCGTCATAATTAGAAAGATTTATCTATGATAACCCAACATCAATAAGTGCTATGAGTCGTTGAAGGTTTATCCCATTTCTTTATTGGGGAATACACTAGTCCCGAAATTTACTGTGCCTGTCGCGATGGTTCGATGTAGATGCGTAAACAAAATCCGTAAATGAAAAAAAAAATGTGCTTAGCGCCCTCACACAGTCGTTATTTGAATGATGGTGTTTCTAGTCTCCAGGCGTACTCGGTAAATAGATTCATGCATTTACAGAAAAGAAAAACAGGGAATTAAAATGAATAAACGAGACGCAAGTTAGCACATTGAAGATTAATGGTACCGACTCCTTTGCCCAAACATGTGTGCATAACTTGATACACGCTCTCTACTAGATTAAAGTTCCACAATCACCGCGTAGCGTTGTGTTTGATATGGACAACATATTCTCGCTTTATGTCCTATCTGATAGCCATTCAATCAGAAGTCCTAACATTCACCAAAGGAGGGCGGTATGCTGCAAAACGCCCAAATGATATTTATTGCAGTGGACCGATAGAATAACAAGCAGTAATAAGTAAGTGGTTGAGAAATCACGTGATGCCAATAGCGCCCGCTTTCCGATCGATCCGTTCCATTATCAGAGTCTTCAGTGCAATGGTACAGCGGGTCGATATGGTCAATATATTTACACTCACGCTGACGTTAGTTAACTATTGCGTCATCGTTGCTGATACCCATGACTTTTATCAGTTGACACCTGCAAAGATCGGTTGTGAAGTTCATGGTATTGACATTGGCCTACCGGTGTCCGAGAAAGTCATAGCACAAATAAAGAAAGACGTGACCGAGCATCGTATTCTCGTTTTCAGAAACCAGCACAATATTCCACCGGAGAGGCACGTGGAGATCGGTCGTTGGTTTGGGGAACTGGAGTCGTCAATGTTTTATAAACATCCCAAATCGCCGTCACCGGAAATATTCCGAATATCAAATGTGAAGTCGGAAGGATCGATCAATAGAGGCCGATTTGGTTGGCACATTGACGGTTCCCACTTTATGAAACCAGTCAGTCACACTTTGTATCAAATTGTGCACGTGCCAAATGAAGGTGACACGGGTGAGTGCAATGGTCGATGTGGGGTCAACCAAATGTTGTCAAATATGGTATTTTCTGAATCGAAATAATTTGTGTCAAACCAAAAATGTGTGTCAAAGCGTGAATATTATTCCCCGTCATCTAGTTGAAAGGGATTGCACGCGTGTATTTCTAAACGTTTTCAAAAACAATACCAGGATAAGCAATCTTTTTTGGGCAAAACACAGCTGATTTCACAAAAGCAGACTTGCAAATTTAAAAGGAGTACTCAGCTGATTATTTTAGCGCTTGTTTGGGGCTTTAAAATGATCTATAGTACTGTTTACTGTTTGGATGTTATACATTTTCTGATTAGTCTAATTCATAATCTTTGTGCAAGAATACTGCCTTTTCAAAAATTCTAAAATCTGTGTCAGTAAACGACGTCACTAAAACGCGTGTGTAATGCACTCTAACTCTTGGGTAGACTAGAAATGTGATAAAGGAAACATCAATGTAAGCAACATAATGACCCCTGAAGGAAAAGGTCCACAAATGTAAGAGAATGCAATTTCCATTTTTTTTAAAATCATTTTCTCAATTTCTGACAACAGATTCTATAATGTCATACTTTACCCATAATCCTTTACTTGAAAAACAAAATGGCTGACTAGATAATACTGATGAAATGTTGAATATCTATAGAATGAAAAGTGGTTTAAAAAACTGTAAATTGCATTCTCCTACATTTGAGGAGCTTATTTTTCAGGGGTCATTATGTTATTTGGATTGATGTTTCCTTTAAGGCTAGCTCGTATCTGACTCGGTTGAGCTCGTACCTTACTCGGGTTAGTTCGTGCCTTACGCGGATTAGCTCGTACCTGACTCGGGTTAGTTCGTACCTGACTCGGATTAGTTCGTACCTGATTCGGCTTTCTTACAGTACAACAGAAAAAATGATTTTTTTTATTCTTTTTGGATTTTGTGCTCAAGTAGTACGTTTCTGTTCTTACAATTCTAACTCAATTCTGATTCTGCCAGTTATAGTTAACCCTATTGGACTGATTTATAGAAAGTTTGTTTTCAACTTTGCTCATAGTCTGAAACTACAATGGAATTCTTCAATTCCTCACAGTAATGGTTAAACATTTAACATGATGAATAAGCGAAATGTGCAGAAATGTAACAACGTTTTAAAAATAAAGCAATGAGATGAAGTCAACTGGTGAATACGTCAGTTTAAAGCGAGGGAGTCGTCACCCGCGCATGTGTCAGGTGGCCATAGCGTTGACATTATTTCATTTTTTCTTCATATTTCTGAACTTTTTTTCAGGCTCAACGTTGATACCCTAATTGAGGTAATCTTACAAACAATCACCACGTAACATATTGATTTCGAAAACTGAGACACAGCTCATTCTTACTACGATATTTTGTTATTTATTTTAGTGTATAATCCGTTAAATGAGATTGTACAGGGATTATCAACAGAACGCCTGGATCGATGGGAAAGATTATGGGTTCGTAGTAATCCGCCGCCACAAGTTATTCACCCGTTGATATATTCACATCCAGACACTGGAAAGAAGGTAAGATTAAAGATAATCTGCAATAAAATTCCCACAAGCTGCCGTGTCAACATTTGGTTCGATATCATGATTGTCTGATTCCTGTTACCCACATATTCGTAGAAATCCGTCACATTTTTATGAGGTCATTAGCAGAAAACGTTTACTTTCACACACTAGCTAAAATAATAATATATACTAGATAGTTAATGTCACAAATAACTACTAGTAGTTCAAATAGCCAGGGTTATGACCCTTCATTAGTAACACTGTCATTTACACTCGGTCTTTTATACATATGCATATTATTAAAATATTGTTTAGATATGCAAATTAGTAACATTAGTTTTGGTTCATATGGAGATTAGTAAATCACACACTTGCATTAATATGCAAATTAGTGAATAATCGGGAAACTCAAACAGCTTGGCTAATTGATAAAAATTGGAATTTTAGAACGGAATGGCAGTTCTTCAGCAAAGTACTTCTATCCAAGATCATTTAGTATTGTTTTGGTACCTCAATCTCTGTACGAGTGTATAGTTTTCTGCTAGGCTGTTTCACACGAACCATATAAATTGTACCTCATCGGATTTGCAAAAAAATTCTCAACTATAGATCACCGGAAGTGGGAGTCGGGTACTCTATAATGAATTTGATGAAAACACTTTTACAATTGAAGAATAAACATCACGCGATATGTATGGGCTATTTTTATTTCAAATAATGACAACGCATTTGAACGAACCTTTTGTATTTATGTGAATTTCTAGTCCACTGACGTTAATTAGGCGACGAATTTTCTAAGTTCTGTTTTCCCCGTGTTATAAATCGTTCAGGTTTACAGGCACTCGAGGGCCTAAATACGTGTTTGCATGTGATATATTTAACTATCTTGGATTCACACTGTCAACACTTCGGCCTCGTGCGTTTACAGCATCTGGCCACAGTTTGATGTCATAAATACACTCTAACTCGAATAGCAATAATGGTATAAAGGACATAAAACAAAAATAACCGACTTCATGTGAGCAACTGTGATATGTGTGTGATTCTACGGTTTTAGACTCGTCAATTAGATCTAAACATCAAATATTAATGTATTCTACAACAATAATTGTGCTCTCCGCCTCTGTCACATATCTAGGCGTTGTTGTTTCACACTCGTCTACTTTATCGTGGTAAGTTTAACACTCTTCGATATTTTCGTTACGTACTCGAAACTGATATCAACACTGCTTCTCGCAAAACCACAAGTTATCCTGGTCTTGATCTATACAGTATACGCAACAGTATTTTCTGTGTTTTACGCACAAACACAAAAGAGTGCTATACACAATACATTACCTTGAATCAATACGTTGAATTCGTTTTTGTGTTCATGCTATTTAATTTCCAGTATATTATGCTCGTACACAAAACCATACATGCGGACGATCGTTTATGCATAAATCATACAAATTTGCTTCCGTATATTCATTATTATTTGTTATTTATTACGGCGGTCTGAAACGTTGGTTAGTATTGAAAATCATTTTTCACACGTAGCGCTCTGGTGCATGGGAAGAGCTCGGGCAATAAGCATGAAAAGTGCAACTTTAAAGCAGGATTGGCGTATGGCGGATGGTAAACTAAACTGTGCCATCACATATTACTAAGGACGGATCATAAAGATACTTCATAGGCATCAGAAATAACAATAATTTCAGTGTAGTATAAAATAACAATTCTCCAACGTTCTAGTAGACTGGTGTTTTAATTCAAGCATCATGGTTTTAGTTTGATAAAATAGAACCGTCAGCATCCCGAAAATGTCAAAACAGACGATTATTCAAAATCATATCCATACATTGTATTCATCAAGTTAATCTGATTAAACATCAATGTTAGCATAACGTCCAAATATGTATATACAATGTACTTACCTTTGTCGAACAGTACATGTCCATTAACTGAACTCACATCATTTCCTGTCATAGTCATTTTTACTGACAATTACTTGACTCAAACTGTCAGTTAGAAAGAATTTTTTTTGTAAATATCCAACATGACAAAATATATCGTGAGATATTCCTCCGAGAGCACTGTGCACAAATTCTCTAAGATTGTTAGGACATGTCTGGGATTAGTATATTGATTTTCATTGAAAAACTTTCATTTATGTTTCAAACTCAACTCATATGAGTGATTAAAATAGCTTTAATGTGCAAGATATGTTTTGCACATGTCTGAAACATAGAAACATACACAGGGCATGTTTGAACCAATCTTGGATATGTTTCAATGACCACATTTTGGCAAGGGGCTGTCATAAAATTGATAGACATATGGACAAATTCATAATCTGCAGCGAGACAGTTGTTTTCAATGTTACACAAAAATTCATCAAACACTCTTTCCATAATCTATGATTGACGCATGAGAGGCAATACTGCCATATTATCAAGACATTACATGTGTGTTTGCTTATAGGTGATATGCATCCATCTAGGCACTACGGCTAGCTTTATCTGGGATAGAGGTACAAACAACGAAAGGGAAACTGGATTTGATGAAACTAAGGAGTTACTAGCTGAGATAAAGCATGAATTCACGAAAAACCAGACTCTCCAGTATTCCCATAAGGTAATAGTTTGAACTAAACAATTCTGGGAATAAGAGGACATTTTCAACATGGAATTATAACTGTGAATTTAAGAAACAATATTGTAATGGAAAGTCTTGTCAATAATTAGACACCAAAAGAAATATAAAAAAGAAAGAAATATATAAAGATTTAAAGTAGTTCACTTTAACTGAAGATTGTGATCGAATTTGCACCTGTCACGGTGGATAAGCATGCTCAGTTCCTTGGGTTATGACTCGATCATTATTCCCTGAGGTTTATTCGCTATTGAATCTGATACTAACCTCACAGAGAATACTTTGTTTCATTGCAGTGGGAAGTTGGAGATTATATCATAACGGACAACTTGTCTGTCGCACACGAGTCAGCGCCATCCAGCCAATACTCGATTGAACAAGTTGGTTTACGTGTTTTACATCGAGTAACAGTCGCAGGGACAAATATGCCAACCAAGAATTACGATTTGCCGATATTAAAGCCAAAAGATGAACTCTAAAATACGCAAACTAGCACTTTTATTTTTTAATTTATTTGAATTATTTCATTGAGAATTATATTGTGCATTGTACTTATGTGAAAAGTGAATACAACGGTCATGAACAGAACATTAGATGCGTTGTCGTTTAGTATCGCAGATCGTAAAACCTCTTACACCACATAATGATTGCCGCAATAAACCGCGGTTAAATATAAATCCAATGATATCGTCCTCTAGATATCTAATCGCCTATATTTTTTTAAAT